ACAACCTATATACACCTGCCATAGGAATTTGTAATCGGGTAAACAATTTTCTCAAGAGAGTAAGTTTGTTGACATGTTGCCAACGTATAGCATAAAGAGCTGTCACACACACACAGCTCTGCGCCGCCTTCACTGTGACCTCCCCAGCACCCGGGCACACAAAAGACCTTACAGTTTGTGCAGTCAATAAGCTCCAATTCTAAGTTCGTGTCAGCACTGTGAAAGTCGAACCAAACACTCTGTACAAACACTCCAACCTCGTGGGGACTAACACGCGATAACGGGATGACGAGAAACATAAAACAGACCCGCCGTGTACTATACTGAGAGAGGAGAGAAGAGAAGAAAGAGAAGAGAAGAGAAGAGAAGAGAAGAGAGACACATCAGTACAAAGAATACCCTACGTATATATTCAGTACAGTACAAGTCTACTGAAGGAGGCAACAGAACCCCGTAACAGCGTGTGGGCGTGAGTGAGGGCCTGACCTGGTATCGTCAAACACATCACCGGGAAAGAGGAGTAAAAGGGAGGGGGAGGGAGGAGAGGGAGGAGGAGAGGGCGTGGGGGGGCGTGGACTGTGTCAGCTGTCATATACTGAAGGGGACGACGCCCCCAGGTGGTTTGGCTGCGTAACTAACAACTAACAGGAGATATTGCTCAAACCACCCATCATCATTGGGGGGGGGAGGTGGGGTGGGGGGACACGGTAATGAGCACATGAAGAACTTGACCCACATAGGAAGATGGTCGGAAAGGGGGTAAAGAACACACAACAGGAGGAATGAGGATAAATTGGAAGTAGGAGGAGGATTCGGAATGGGATGAAAGATTGGGAATGGGATGGAGAGGGGGAATAAGGGAGGGAGGAATAAGGGCATGAGGAAAAGGGCAGGAGGAATAAGGGAGGGAAAAATAAGGGCAGGAGGAATAAGGAAGAGAGAGAGAGAGAGAGAGAGAGAGAGAGAGAGACATCCAGCACGACCACTGCCAGACAGAGACCTTGACTTACTTGGTCGCACAGCAACCAGAGGGTCTCACACCACCTAACACCGTCTTAACCTCCCCCCCCTTCCCTACATGGTCTTCAATACCCACACTCACCCCCACACCCCCCCCATCTCTACCCACATCCCCACCCCATACAGACAGAACTCCCCCCTACACACACCACCTTCATCACCCCCCATCACCACTACCCATTCCTTCATACTTTCAGCTTATCTCTCTCAACCCATCACTTAATACCGAGTCCCACCTTAAGCTGTAACTCCAAACGTGTTATCATCTGGAGGTTTGGTTACATATCATCCACCTTGGAGCCGTGGGAAGTCGCCGCCAGGGTACGAAATACTGTCACAAGTATATAGGGGATAATTGTCCATGTAACTGCATAAAAAAACGTAACTAACAGAGGGTGATGGTAAGTTAAGGCTTAAAATACAACACAATTACATTAAAAAATAAATAAATAAATAAAAATCAAACCGAGAATTTACCTTAGCTGCCACAGTATGAATTCTCAAAAAAATTCCTAAGTTACATTTTCCTCGGCAGTCGAGACGAAAGACAGCATGAGCGGCTAACCCCCCCCCCCCACACACACACACACACCAAGACTCGACCTCAACTTTATGTGTTCAGTGTGCATCAGTTGTGAGGCCAAAAATAACAAAATCTTCGTGTATGTGAACACCAGAAGACCATGACGAGAACCTCTGGCTGCATCCGGGCTTTTTACTAAGGGTTTTCCTCGAATCTTCTGCGAGGGAGATCCCCTTCATGGCCTTCACAAGTATGTTTAGGTAGTGGAGGTTCGTTGTACACAGCAGCCAGCCGCCGCCTCTACACGAGTTAACCGTTGTACACAGCAGCCAGCCGCCGCCTCTACACGAGTTAACCAGAAGAACTCGTAACAAAGAAATAGCTCCAGCGATTCAATTTTCAACGCATATCAATTATCGGTAAACTTTCCTCCCCAGACCTCGTAAATCATAAATTCCCAAGAAACAGGCGGGTAGGCAGGCACGGAGGCATGCAAGAGGGCAGGTAGCAGGCAGGGGGACGTGGGGAGAGGCAGGTAGGATTGGAGAGCAATCAAGCAAACAGACTGGCAAGCAGGCAAGAAGCCAGAAGTGCAAGGAGACAAGGAGACAGTCCAAGCAGAGCAATGCAGGCAGGCAGGCAGGCAGGCAGGCAGGCAGGCAGGCAGGCAGGCAGGCAGGAAGCAAGTCAAAGCAGGGCAGCAGGCCAGCCAACAATTGTATTAACCGTGGTGATGGGTGCCACAACGATGCATCTCCGGCCTTCCCGCCCGCCCTCTACACCCGCCTCACTGTGTCGCCGGAAACACCTCACACCTACCAACACACACACACGATGATGATGATGAAGATGGTGGCAGCGGCTCACAAGCAGGTGTTACCCCAGGAGCACTTATGCCATACCTGCCCCTTCCATCCCCCCCATCACATCACACCTGTTCATGATTGACTCAGTACCCCCCATATATACCCACCGCCCAGGAGGTTGAAAATGGGGTGGGTGGGATGGAAGGTGTAATCGTCATGTGTGTAAGTGTGTGTGTGTGTGTGTGTGTGTGTAAGTGTGTGTGTGTGTGTGTGTGTGTGAAAGGTCAAGGTCAACCATCTGGGTAACTACAGCTAAGAGGCGCACGACTTTTACACCAATGTGAAGATTTAATGATGAAAAAGTCGAGTAAGAGTGAAGTTTACACAAGACAAGACAGACAAACAGACAGACAGACAGACAGACAAAACAAGGCGAGGTAAGGTGAAGCAAGGTGAGGACAGGTTAGGTAAGGCAAGGTGAGGACAGGTAAGGTAAGGTGAAGACAGGCGAGGTGAGGTTAGGTTAGGTTACGTAAGGTTAAATACGATACTGGTGACGAATAAAGTCGTTTATCAATCGTCAGCTTAACTGGAGGTCATACGATAGTTGGGTCTCATTACCACTATCTCTTCTGAAACAACGGTATAGAGATTATTAGGTTAGGATTAGGTTAGATTAGGTTAGGATTAGGTTAGATTAGGTTAGGGTGGAAGAAGAGCAAAGTTATGGAAGGAAGGCAGGAAGGATGTAGGCGTGAGCTATGACATACGACCTGTGATCTATATAACAAGTGACAACATACACACACACACACACACACCCAGAGGCGGGGAGGAGGAGGAGACAACATGCCACCATTACCACCCTCTCCTCTCTAGTCTACACCACCACCCAGGCACTAATGAGATGATTGTCATGCACACCCCCCCCCCACCAACACTAAACTGTCCTGCCTGTGTAATCTTACCCAATACACTCCTCAGTCTTCCTTCCATTATGCCCAATATATCAACATACCACTATACCACTACCACACCCTTAGCCACTTACCGCTTACCTCTCCACCAGCTGCACCCCACCCTACCTCACCTCACCCCACCCCAACCCTTCTTCCTCCACCACCAACACGTCCTCTCCCTCCCCCACATCCCCCAGGACTATTCCCCGAGAGAGAGAGAGAGAGAGAGAGAGAGAGAGAGAGAGAGAGGAGAGAGAGAGAGAGAGAGAGAGAGAGAGAGAGAGAGAGAGAGAGAGAGAGAGAGAGAGAGAGAGAGAGAGACAGAGACAGAGACAGAGAGAGAGAGAGAGAGAGAGAGAGAGAGAGAGAGAGAGAGAGAGGAGAGGGAAGGAGAGGGAGGGAGAGAGGGCCAAGGTAACACTATGTATGCAGCCCACGTGCACTTATGACTACCACCGCCCACCACCACTACCACGCTCCCATACCCACACTCACCCGCCCGCCCACCTGACTGTCGAATCTACTGCTAGCCTGCCTCTACTAACTTGTCTTCTTGCCTGCCTGCCTGCTCCTTGCCTACCACCATTCCTACCAGCCCCATTACCGAAAAAATGTCTCCTTCTACCGTAAACACACCGAGCCTGACGGAAGAGCACACAGTGGCATTCAACTCCGGAGACAATGGCTTTCTACCTGACAATCTATATTAAAATTACAACCACGATTCCACTTCACTACCAGTTATGTATATACTATTAATCAAGGGTACCTACTAACACACGTACACGACTCTATATCCACGACTATCGACGACACAACGCATTCAAACTTGACCAAACAAAAGACGAACGTTGAAAACAAAAGAGTCGTCGTTTTTTGCCACCCATTTATCACTTACGAGTTAGGGTGTCAAGTGAGTCAAGAATATCCAAAACAACAATAATACACACACACACACACATACATACACACACACACACACACAGGACTGTCCAGTTAGACGTACCCAAACACCAGCCCACAGCAACAGTGTAGGTTAGGATGGGTTGAGCAGGAAGACCCTTTACCTTGCCCCCCCACACTGTCTTGTACCAGGTGACCCAGCCTCCCTCACCCCTCCCCTAAGACCCACGTTTTTTTTTATGTTTCCAATAAATAAACAATGTAATGAAGGGTTGAATGGTTACTAATAATCCAAGTATTTTTTGTTGTTGTACTTAATCCTATTTTTTTCACTCATATCCAGATAGAATAGAAATCCTGATCCAGCATTTACAGTCAATAGAACATTACCTATCGCATGTAATATTCAGTGCCACGAAAGCCTTTTACGTGGCCCCTACAGAAGGCACTGGACTATAGGTTGTAAGGTGGTGTGCCAAGACGTCAACCTGTCTCGCTATGACACCTACAGGGTACACAACACACAGAGGTGCTCATCACTCCCTCAAGTGTGACTTTATAAGCATTGAGTGACCGTGTTGTTCAGATGGTCACTCACACACCGAGGTAAAGTGCTCCCTCCGTCCGCCCCTCCCTCTCCTCATCCACACACAACCTCCTCAACTGTATTTTCTGTTTATATGTCTGTCCGTAGGGGTGTGTGTGTGTGTCTGTGTGTGTCTGTGTGTGTGTGTGTGTGTAGGTTTCTCTGTGTCTTTACCTTTACAGTAATTTATAATTACACGTCACCTTTACCGACATGACCACCTCTCCTCA